TTGTTTTATTTGTAAATAACATTGGTGCTCAAACAACACAACGGGGTTCTTCAAATCCACTCACCACCAACACTTGAGTTTATAACTTTAGTTTGTAACATTGGTGCATTGCATTTTCCTTTTAGTTTGTAACTTTAATTAACTTTGAATTGAATTTTTCTTTTTTGTTGTAACTTTAATTCATTTTGCTTTGCATTTTCCTTTTGGTTTATAACTTTAAAGGATTTGGAATTGGAATGCTTGAGAAGTTTAACTTTAATTGGAATGCTTGAAATTGTAACTTTAATTTTCTTAGGTGTAAATGCTTGAGAAGTTGATGAGATTGTGAATTTATATATGTTTGAGAAATTGAGGTTGTGTATTTATTTATTTAGGTTGTGAATTTATATTTTTGTGAATGCTTGAGAACTCGCGGTTTTAAACCGCTAATTCGCGGTAACCGACCGCATTTTGCGGTTTACCGCAATGCGGTAAACCGCAAAACGCGGTCGGTTTGCGGTTTCAAAAATTACCAAACCGCAAATAGTCGGTCGGTTTGCGGTTTGAGTAAAAATTCGCGGTTACCGAACCGCAACCACCCCTACTTAAAACATGCTCTTATATGATTAGAAGACCATTCCAATACGGTTTACGACAATGTAATGTCTTACACTTAAAACATGCTTTAAATATAGGGAGTGTCCAATCCAATACTAGTCATCAAATCAAATTACTTCAACTTACCTGGTGGTGGTGGAGCTGTCTAGCTCTTAATTAATTTCCTCGCAATTGTTGCCTCGTTTCTTGCGCTTTCATGTTTGTTTGTAGTTTCCTTAGTTTGTATTGCATGTCATTGCCCTTGCCGCCTTGAGCTGGAACTTCTTCCCTTCAGGCTTTTGCTTTTGTTGTGTCCCTGTTTGTCCCTTGTGTGGAGCTTTGGTTTCTTGGGCTGCCTATATCCATTGGTTTTTCTTTTTGGTGCCAGATCCATTGTTTTTTTGTTTTTGCCAGATCCATTGTTTTGTTTACTGAAGGGAATAAATAAATAAATAAATTGTCTGCTTGCATTTGACGACTCCTTTGACGATGCTCTAAGGGTTGATGATTGGGACTTTGTATCAAAACCCTATTTCAAACATGACGCGGCAGTTGACCGTAGCCTAGACGTGAACCTAATAATTTTTTTAACCCTTTTTTTTTGGTCATATTGGTGCCTCATCCTATCTCCCCTCTTCTCTTCTCAGGTCCAAAATATATAAGTCATATGCTGCGGTTGGTTACAGATTCAGTACTTCTTTGATTTGAAGAGGAGGAAAGGCATCAAATTCACCGCTGCAAGCCTTCAACAACTTGGACAAAAGGTCTTCTCAGAACTACTTGATACAATATCAGCAAACTGGGCAAGTGTTTGAGAGTTTCTGTCCATATGGATTTCTTTATATTTATGTTTACTAATTTGATTTTAATGCATTGGTTTGATTAAAATTTGGATATAACTTGTATAAAAAAAAAAAAAATTATATAACTTTGTGCTCCAGTTACTGTCTGCCATGCATACAACTGTTCTACTGTTAATTCATGAAAGTCGATGGTTTTTGTTTCTTTGTAGTGTTTTCTTTTTGTGGCAAAAAGTCAATTTGGGTTCCTGCGGTTTTTGCATGTTGGTTTATGGGAGAAGAGGTTTAGGAAATGGTTGGTTTAGTGTTTAGGACAATAGCTTAACTTGGAATGGAAAACTTTTGAAAGAGTAATAAAGTAGTTTTATTTGAATGAAGTAGGAAAGGTACAAGGCTTTGGATATAGGACAGCTGGTAGTTTTCAGCTTGATTACTTGAATGGGCTGTAGGCATATTTATACAGAAGCTAACTGACTATCTAAGTCGGCAATTTACTTGGACAAGTCGGTTGCACAGTAACCGACTTATCTAAAGCATTTGACAGTATTTGTAATGTGGGTTTGAAACTACAGGATAAAATTGGCAGAATTGAAACTAGGCCGACCAAAAATTATTTCTTGCCTTTTTTTTAAATGCAAAGTTAATTCAAAGTGCCAGATATACTGAAAGAAAAAATATTGCCGTTGTAAGCAAAAGTAAATTCAATAAACATGACAAGTAATCCTCAGTCCAAAGCTATAAACTTAGGTATTTATCAAAACAAGTTCTAGCTGACGGCTTTGATTATAGATTCGGATTGATTATGGATGAGTAAAAGGTATCATTTGCCATGAAGAATGAAATTTCGTAAGAAAATTTGAAAATTTGGTGTTATTCGTTTTATTTATTTATTGAACATGACTTTTTGGAGTAGCTTACTCCAGCTATTGTTTATTTAGAGTTTGTTTTTGCAAATTTGAGAGCCGCTGTCTTAACTATTCACCAATTTGTTATGATTTTAGTGGTATTTCTCTTCTCAATATTGAACAAGGTCCCATGTTCGAATTCCCTCCCTCTGTCACGGAAAAAAGAAACAATAATAATTTATATGCTCCTTTCTTATATGTTCATTGTTCTATGTGGTGGCAGTTGGTTTTTGAACTTCCATTTATAAGATTCCTTACTCTTTGTTCTGAACTTTCTCAGCTAGCTAGCATGGAGTTTAAGAGGCTAAATCCAGCTTCACATTTAGTTTATCGCTGTCAGCCAATTGGCAGGCTGAAACGGCTTGAAAGGAATTTCGAATTGCTTATACAAATAACTGAATGTTTGTATAGCATGAGGGATACCATCAACGAGGAGGTAACCAAAGAACTGATGTGGGGTAAGGCACCAACCTTGAAATGCAAAAAATGGCTTGAAAAGGTGGGAGAAATTGAAGATCAAGTGAATGACATGTTGAAGATACAGGAGACGAGTTCTGACCTTGTGATTCACTCGCACGTCGGTCTACATCAGCATCTGATGAGTATGCTCAATAAGATTACTGATCACTTGGAGAAATCTCCAGGTGCACATGGTTCAATGGCTTATGTACCTCCTGGACAGAGTAAAACAGTAACTAGTCCAATACTTCATGGTGAGGCATATGGACTGGCACCACCAGATAACAAGAATGTGAACTTGCAAAGGAGAGCAGAAGCAAAAGGAGAAGCAAATGTGGAGACTGAAATGTCACCAACACAAGGGAAGGAAGCCGTGAAGGGTAAAGAAATACAAGAAGGTAAATATCTTGAGACCCAAGCAACAGCATCAAGAGCTGCATCCATATTCTATAGAAAGAGCCTGCTGGGGTTTAAATTTGGGGGAGCAACCACTGAAATAGGTAAACCACAAACAGAGAACAAACGGCTTCAGGCGGGGCCTATATTGAACAAACGGCTTCATAGCATATCAATTGAGCGGATGCTGCACGAGATCTTGGGATGCATGAATAGTGTCACAATTAGTAGAATTGCCATTTATGGAATGGGTGGGATTGGCAAGACTACTGTGCTGAAAGCCTTGGCCAATCATGTTGAAAGAAAAAGCACGTTTGATAATGTCATTTTGGTGACTGTCTCAAAACATTGGAGCACAAGAAAGATTCAAAATGAAATTTTAAGACAGTTATCAATGTGCGTACCAGATTCTGAAACTGATTCCAGAGTTGCAGAAAAACTACTTCAAGTTTTGAACAGCAGGAAGTTTTTGCTTCTTCTGGACGATGTTTGGGAGTGTTTAGATTTAAAAG